GTGTTGTATTTGAATTAATATTTTTTCAACGATTTGCTTAATTTTAGACAAGCATATATAGCAAAATTTGATTTAACAAAAAAAAAAAAGAAAAATACTATAGCAAAAAAAAAAAAAAAAGGAAAAGGAGTCTTAACTTCTCTAAATTTTATGTTATTTTATATTTTTTTGCTAAATTTTTCATTTTTTATTTCATTTTTTCCCTCTTTTCTAAGACTAAAGAGTTAATTGGCTGACCGTGAGACTTCTCCATAGACTTGATTGGCTTGATCTCCTTGACAAGTTCTTTTTATGTTTTTTCTACACGTCGAATTTCATTCATACATATGAATGCTTTTTGTGGAAAATTCAAGTTGGAAATTTAAATTGGAGGTCTTCGAAGAAATTTCCTACGCTTGATGTGGTGGAAAACATTTTTCTTTAACTTTATATATTATGTGTTCGTAGCAATGATCAGTATGCAACCATGAAAGCGGTTACAATTTCCTTGTTTGTATTTCTTCTTGTCATCGCGGCCACTGTTATTAGCTTTTGTGATGGGAATTCCAATGTCCTTTGCATTGAAAGTGAGGGGCAAGCCCTTTTGAATTTCAAGCAAGACCTTATTGATCAATCAAACAGGCTATCTTCTTGGGTTGAAGGTGAGGATTGCTGTGAGTGGGTTGGTGTTTTCTGCAATAACTTGACTGGCCATGTCAAAGAGCTGCACTTGGGTCTTCTTTCAAAAGGACCTGATGCGGATGAGCCGGTTGCTGAATGGGGTGCTTACCTTCGGTCAAAGCTAGGAGGCAAAATAAATCCTTCTTTGATCGAGTTGAAGCATATCAGTTTCCTAGACTTAAGCAACAACGACTTTGGAAGCCTGACAATTCCCGAATTCATTGGGTCGATGAAGAGCTTGACATATCTTAACCTTTCTCTGGCAAATTTCCAAGGACAAATTCCCCATAGTATTGGAAATCTCTCAAAATTGCTTTATCTTGATCTTGGACACAATCCCCTATTTGAAGCTAAAGCTCTTCAATGGGTTTCTGGTCTTTCGTCTCTGCAGTACCTTGATTTGAGTGAAGTAGATCTTCGTAAAGCAACTGATTGGCTGCAATCAACGGAAAACCTTCCTTCTTTGGTGGAGTTACACTTGTCAAGATGCTCTCTAAATAATGATCCATCTCCAATCAGTGTTAATTACACATCTCTTGCTGTTCTGGATCTTTCCAGAAACACGTTGTCTTCGGTGCCTACGTGGATATTTAGTCTTGTTAGTCTTGTGTCCATTGATCTTAGCTCTAATGGAGTTGAAGGTGTGATTCCCAATGGTTTTCAAAACATGTCTTCTCTCAAATTTCTTGATCTTAGTAGGAATGCCTTCTCTTTATCGACACTCAGCTGGTTTTCTAATTTAAACCGACTTCAATTCCTTGGTCTTAGCAGTGCCGGCCTGCAAGGTAATTTTTCAAGTGCCATTGGAAACTTAAGCTCTCTTACTCATCTTGATGTTTCACATAACCAGCTTGAAATTATAGAACCTAAATGTTTGGAGAGTCTTTGCATTATGAGGGAGATGGATTTATCATATAATGGAATTGATAATGAGGTATCAGAAATCATAGAGAGTTTGTCTAGATGTAGTTTGGATCGATTAGAGTCATTAAATATTGCATCTAACAAACTTTCTGGCCATTTACCTGATCAACTTGGCCAATTTAAAAATTTGGCATACCTTTCCCTTTCTAGAAACTCCATTTCTGGTCCCATTCCATTCTCAATAGGGAAGTTGTCATCATTGAAAGTTCTTGATGTTTCATACAATCGAATGAATGCAACTCTTCCTCAAAGTTTAGGACAACTTGGGAATTTGGAAGATTTAGACGTTAGCTATAATGTGTTGGAAGGAAATATATCAGAAATGCACTTTTCTAATCTCACGAGATTGAAATTTTTTTGGGCATCTAACAACGTGTTAACGTTTAAACCAAACCCAAGTTGGATTCCTCCTTTTCACTGTAAAAGTATTGGATTGGGTAACTGGCATCTTGGTCCGCAATTCCCTCAGTGGCTACAATTCCAAAAGAACTTGTCTTTTTTAGATATCTCCAGTGCTGAAATTTCAGGTGTCATTCCCACTTGGTTTTGGAACCTTTCGACTCAATTTGAATATCTAAACCTTTCCCATAACCAACTAGGCGGGGAGATTTCATATTTATTGATGAGTTCGATGGTTGACTTGAGATCCAACCAATTCACAGGTCCATTGCCACGGGCATCCTCTGATTTGGAGTTTTTATTTTTGTCTAAGAATCTAATTTCAGGATCCTTATCTAGTTTTCTTTGTAATTCCCAAACTAAACTGGCAACTTTGAGCATTCTTGACATTGAATCAAATCTTCTGTCAGGTGCAATTCCAGATTGTTGGAAATTTTTGGGAAGTTTGCAAGTTTTAAATTTAGGAAACAACGATCTAACTGGGACAATTCCTATATCCTTGGGATGTATGGTTCATATTGGGTTATTAAACCTTCGTAACAATAACTTATTTGGAGAAGTACCATCCTCATTGCAGCATTTAAATGGTACGCTTATTCTTGATCTTAGTGAAAACCAACTGACGGGAAGTATTCCAGCATGGATTGGAGACAAACTCTCAAAACTCGTGGTGCTAAACCTCCGTTCAAATAACTTTCAAGGCTATATTCCTGATCAAATTTGTACTCTTAATTCTCTTCAGGTCTTGGATCTTGGTTATAACAACATTTCAGGAGCTATTCCAAAATGTTTTAGTAACTTAAGTGCCATGGCCACAAAACCCTCCGACCAACACCTAAGTTATTGGGCTTTCGAATTAGACTTTGATAACATGTTTTATTTGGGTGCGTTATTGGTGACAAGAGGAAGAGAGGATGAATACAGTACCACACTTAGACTTGTTACTAGCATAGACCTTTCAGTTAATAGTCTCACAGGAGAGATCCCCAAAGAACTTGGAAATCTTATGGGGCTGCGGTCATTAAATTTGTCAAAGAATCTCCAAACAGGAAAGATACCAGAGAACATTGGCAATATGGAGGTGTTGGAATCTCTTGACTTGTCGATTAACCGACTCCATGGCGAAATCCCTTCAAGTTTCTCCAATTTGAATTTCTTGAATCACTTGAACTTGTCCTACAACAACTTGACGGGACAAATTCCATCGGGCACCCAGCTCCAAAGCTTTGACAGGTCTTCTTACATTGGCAATCATCTTTGTGGACCTCCAGTCACTAAAAATTGCAGCGGAAATGGCGAAACGCCTGATTTTACAAATGGAGGTAGCAGTGGAGGAAAGAAAAGATCTAAGGTGAATTGGCTTTATGTGAGCATAGTGCTTGGATTTGTGATGGGGTTTTGGGGAGTTGTGGCTCCCCTGTTTTTCATCAGGTCTTGGAGGTTTGCTTATTATCAAAAACTGGAGCAAATTGGTGATAAGCTATACGTGTTTTGGGCTACTATTGGTATGTAATTATTTGTATTGGCAGCACACATTTCGGTGTGGTTGGTAATGTAATAACTTGATTTGCATATTCTTTACTTAATCCATGTATTCGGATTCAGAAGTGATATTACATGTTGTAATTTATTGAAATAAAATAAATTATGTTAATGTATTTGACTCATGTATGTTTGAATTTAATTCAATATGAGTTGAAGATACAATTTTTTATAAGTCATTTAATTTGAAATATTTATTATTCTAGTCTTATTTATGATTTTGGTTTGTTATTCAGAAGTAAAATTTCAAAAAACTACAAATTTTTATAAATCCAAAGGAATTGAAAGCTTTTATTGTAACTATATAAAAATTGTAGAGTTTACGGGAAAAAAAAAAAGTATTTCGGAAATGGGCCGGATTTAACCAGCCCGTTTTTGTCAATTCACTCCACCCTACAAACCCATTAATGAATCAAGCCTAATAGTCTTTTTACCCTATTTTATGTATTTTTTTTAATTCTATTTATCAAAAATTTTGAAAATAATAATAAAATATAAAAATATAAAAGGCAAAAAATTAAAAAATTAAACGCAAATCTAAATCATCATAAAAAAATTTAGTCGTATTTTTCTTTTAAATCTAAATCATCATAAAAAAATTTAGTCGCATTTTTCTTTCTCTTTTTCTAAAAGTTTTGAAAAATGTTTATGATTTAAAATAAATTAAAAAAATCTTAGATTTGATCAAATAATTTATAAATTTGAAAATAAAAAATAAAAGTACACATCAAAGCAAAAAAAGCCAACAGCAAAAAACGTGACCATAATAAATTAAATATTTTTTAATTTTGATACATTTATAAGATTAATTTGTACACTTACAGGGTTTTGATTTTTAGTATAATTTTTTTTTTACGTTTAGCGACGTTTATAAAACCACTAAAAAAATTTACAACGTTGTGAAAAATGTTAGTAAGAATGTTGCCTTACACACGCATCGTGAAAAATAAAGATTTTTTTATAAAACGTTCTATATTAACGTGTTTGTTCTGAAAAATTTTATATCTAAAAAATGTCATTATATTAATCGCATTTGTATCTTTGACATGCCGCTAATTTAGTGACGTTTTTAATTAAATATTTTTAAATTTTGATAGATTTACATAAGTTAAATTTTTATTTTATTTTTATTAAAAATAATTATAAATAATGGGATCAAATTCTAGTAATGGATAAAAATATATAAAATAATGACCAATGTATATATGAACAATCAAATTTTTGGCCAATAAAATATTAGAGACTAATTAAAGAGTGGCAAATCATCCAATTAAGGCTGGAAGGTTATGCTTATGTAGGGTGTGAATTTGAAGAAAAAAAAAATGAAAAAAAGTAGCACTTGGTGAAGAGGTTAAACCAACCGTATAGAAAGTGACCACTGACTTTTACATCTTATTATCAATTCAAAAAGTTAGTTTAACATCAATTATGCTAGTTTAAGAAACTTATTTATGATAAATTTTGACATAATTAATAAAAGAAGGATTATATGAAATAATTATTCAATATAAAAATATATCTTTTTTATTTTATTAAAATCACACCATAAAATAATATTTTTAAAAAATGTTGATTATTTATTTTATATTATACGTTATTATTAGATAGGTAAATTTTTATTTCAACAGCATTTACTTATTAGTGGTACGTGAAAAATTAAAATTAAACCGTGTCAATAATATGATTATATTATATAATTTAAATGAAAAGCATATATATATATATATAAAGTAATCTTTTTATAAATTCAAAGTCTAATCTAAGTGGTTCATACAAATATTTTAAAAAGTACTTCTAATCGGATTAAAATTTAAATTTATGCACTTGTAATTCTTTTTTTAATTCTCAAATTTAATTTATTTTGTATAAAAATAAAATTACGACAAACTCAACTATAACCTGACTATATTAATCAAATCTTGTTCATCACTAAAAGGTAATTAACATTGTAATTGATCATTCTAAGCATAGTGATTTACTATTTTAATTAGCTAAAAATATAAGTTATAGGCAGGACATAAAAGTGAAACATCATGGGTGATGTAAGAGAATTTTAACTTGATCTGGCCACAATGCCCCGACAAGTATTCCTTTTGACTCAGCTGTTGATTCTACTATTAACGACTAAATAATGATGTTCGACGCTAATAACTTGTTCATATAATTTTACTCTCTTTCCATCGTTTCTTTAATTTGTTCTTTCTTTCTTTTCTTTTTTTTTTTACTTTTTTAAAATAAATATTTGAATAATATAGCCTTTCCCTCCCTTGCTTGTAATACTGTATATATAACACTGAGCTTCAAATTTCATTTCCTATGACCAAAACCAAAAAGCAAAATCAAAGAGAATTAATTATAAGATCGAAGAAGAATCGTTTCCATAATAAGAATGACTTGATTTTCATACATGGACTCTTCATTTTTTCAATACCCAAATCTCCAATTGTCTCTTGAATCCTCTTCTTCCTATATTTCTCAAAAAATTTCTCACTAGAATCATTCAATTATCTCCATAACCAAACCATTTCAATGGAAATGACTCCCGTGTAATCTTCCTTTGGGAGTCCTAAATCAAGCATAGGAAAACACTTGATAATAAAGGTCACTGTGCCAATTTGTATTCTCATTTCTTTTTATTTTTGGGTATAAAAGAAAATATTTTTTCGAATTTATAAGATTTCTGTCCATATTTCAACCACATCCTTATCAGTACAGCCATTCGTGTTTTTTTTTCAATCACACAGGTTTTTTATTTTCTTTTCGGGAAAGAAGAGATATTAACTACTTTTTCCTTGAGCAATATGTGCAATTGCTAAGGCAATTTGGACCCAACTTTGAACTAGATGAAGCTCTAATTGTGAAACATTATTTGGCTGAAGGTTACCGAATCACTATCGTAATTTATAACTAAGACTGTTTTTAAAGTGGAAGTGAACTCAATCCCCTTAAATCTAAGCCCGATGGATGTGTTGTTACCATCATGAGCTTTTCGATGCCGCCTTATTGGCCCAATCAACGGCTCGCAGTAGTAGGTACAAAAAGAGAAAGACTGCTAGTTACCTCTCAAATTAAAATTATAAAAATCTGATGGACCGACTTCATATATATATTTATATATTAATCAAAATTGACCCATAATATTATAGATTCAAATGATAAAATTAAATTAGGATATGTACTTATATCTATGCATGTTCGAATATATTACAACATAATACCACTATAATTATTGTGTAATTTGAAATTAATTGACCTTAAATCCGGATTAACTGACCGTGTTAGCCCACAATATAATTGCAAAACACTTCACCTGGGGAGTGAGGGTTTCGGAATGTCTGGGAAGCCATTGCACATAAAGGCTCAGCATTTCACCGAATCATACCGAGGTTCATGTGTCAAGGTGGAGATTTCACAAGGGGAAATGGCACTGGTGGAGACTCAATCTATGGCACGAAATTTGCAGATGCGAATTTCATGCTCAAACATACCGGACCTGGTTGTTTGTCAATGGCCAATGCTGGACCAAACACCTATGGTTCCCAATTCTTTACTTGCACTGAGAAGACTCCATGGCCTGATGGAAAGCATGTTGTGTTTGGTAAAGTAGTGGATGGATAAGCGTTGTCAAGGAGATGGAAAAAGCTGGCTCAGACAGTGGGAGAACTTTGCAACCAGTTGTGATCGAAGACTGTGGTCAGCCAAAAGATAATTGGAGAAGCTGGGAATGATGAAGTACTGTATCTTTTTTATGTTTCTACATGGCAATTTGAACTCTATCCACTTTGTTAGTCACTGATAATGTACGTTCCAATAGAAATTTGAGGCATTCCTGAAGGAAAATTTGTTTCAGTGTCATGTTTTATCAGATTATACATTTTTGGTTAGGAGAGGAACTGATCAATTTCATTTATATTGTACTTGGATCACAATTTTATTTCCAACACATGATACTTGAATTATACTAGATCACAATTGAAAAGGTACTCCATGAAGAGCAAAAGATCAGGGAACACGAAGATCAAGAAAGAAGGAAATGGGGAGGGAAAATATCCTGGTGTTTGAGGATTTAGGAGCTGATTATTTGGAGAAGCTTCTAAGTATATCTGAGAGTGCAACTCCTTATTGGTGAATAATTGAGTTCAAACACCAACATTTTTTCTTCTCTTTTTTGTTTCTTCTCCCTTTTCAATTGAGATAGTGGAGGAGGACCAAATTTTTTGTTGGATATCGTCTGTGAATTTGTAAATCTTTGAGATGATGTAAAATCAAAGTTTAGTGCTATGCATAATTTTAGCCAACAATAATATTACATACTAGTTGAACATTTCTACAAATTTTCATTCTTCTATATATACATATATATATATGATAACAATTTCTAGTTATTTTGAATTCATAAAGAGTTATCATCTATGTTAATCATATATTAGTAGTAGTTTTATTTTCCTTTTTGCTTAAAAGAACACTTGAAAATAAAGGTCGTTGCGCCAAATTGTATTCTCATTTCTTTTTCTTGGTATAAAGAAAATATTTTTTTCGAATTTATAAGATTTCTGTCCATATCTCACCACATCCTTTTTCGTGAAAGTAGAATATTAACCAGCTTTTCCTTGAGCAATATGTGCCATTGCCAAGGCAATTTGGACCCAATTTTGAATCAGATGAAGCTCTAATTGAATGTGGCTGAAAACTCACCGAATCACTATCGTAATTTATAACTAACACTGTTTTTAATGTGGAAGAGAACTCAATCCCCCTAAATCCAAGCCCATGGATGTGTTTTTACCATCATGAGCTTTTTTATGCTGCCTATCGAGCTCAATCAACGACTTGCATAATAAAAAAAGAGAGAACTGTTATTTACCTATCAAATTAAAGTTATAAAATCTAATGGACCGGCTTCATATATATATATATATATTAGTCAAAATTGATCCATCACATTATGATTCAAATACAAAATTAAATTGGGATCATACTTAATTAATATCGTACTATATGTTTGAATATATTACAATATGATACCACTATAATTATTTGTAATTTGACATTAATTGACCTAAATCCGGATTAATTGATTGACTGTGTTAGCCCACGATATAATTACAAACACTCTGCACTGGGGAAAAGGGTTACGGAATGTCTGGGAAGCCATTGCACTGTAAAGGCTCAGCATTTCACCGAACCATCCCGAGCTTCAGGTGTCAAGGTGGAGATTTCACAAAGGGGAATGGCCCTGGAGGAGAAGCAATCTATGGCATGAAATTTGCAGATGAGAATTTCAAGCTTACACATACTGGACCTGGTTGTTTGTCAATGGCCAATGCAGGACCAAACACCAATGGCTCCCAATTCTTTATACGCACGGAGAAGACTCCATGGCTTGATGGAAAGCAAGTTGTGTTTGGTAAAGTAGTGGATGGATAAGCGTTGTCAAGGAGATGGAAAAAGCTGGCTCAGACAGTGGGAGGACTTTGCAACCAGTTGTGATCGATGACTGTGGTCAGCCAAAAGAAATTGATGGAGAACCTGGGAATGATGAAGTACTGTTTTTTTTTTTTATGTTTCTACATGGCAATTTGGACTCTGTCCACTTTGTTAGTCACTGCTAATGTACGTTACAATAGAAATTTGAGGCACTCCTGAAGGAAAAATTGCTTCAGTGTCATGTTTTATCAGATTATACATTTTTGGTTAGGAGAGGAACTGATCAATTTCATTTATATTATACTTGGATCACAATTTTATTTCCATCGCATGATACTTGAATTATACTTGATCACAATTAACAGAACATAGTCGAGGACTCTTATTCATGGGTCAAGCGAACGGAATCGGGCAGGCAATGGAGATGGGGGTGGCCGAAAAGGTTAGTAAAGTTGTTGCTGTAGAGGTTTGGGGGGCTGGGGATTAGAATCGCTGAGATGTGTTTTAGAAGATGGGAAAGGGAGGTGAAGGGAAAAAAGAGATGGTTTTGGTTCAAAAATGAAGAAAATAAAGGATTTTGGCAATTGGCGATGGGTTTAAGAGAGGTTGATGAGAGCATGGCGAGGAAAAATAGATGTAGAAGATATTTGTAGGAAGGAGGGAGAAGGGGAAGGCTTTATTTTGTTTATTAGCAGCAGCAGGGTTGTTTAGGCCTGTCAAAATTCTAATACCCCATTTGCTTGGTGGTATAAGGCAAAACAAAACTAGCCTAACACTTTTATATTTAAATATATATCATTTAAATTATACAACTCGAGTTCATATATCATTTAATACGAAATAATAAAATTATAATTACTTAAATTAATATCGTTCAATTATGTAAAAAAATTATTACATTTTTTATTACATCAAATATAGATTCAATCAATCAAAATACAACACGTTATTAAAATTTGTAAATTCTCTCTTTATATAATTTAAAAGAATTTTTTTCCCATGGCTTCTATGAGGGGTTAGTTCCATTGCTAGTTGGATATAAAAAAAAGGGTTTGGTGATACTATATGATCATACTAAGTACAATGAAATCACGCATTGAAATCTTGTTTTAAAAATTTAAAATTTAATTTAATTGATTTATATAATTATTTTTAAAATATAACATTCAATAAATTTAAAATTTAAATTTTAACACCTATAATTATGAATTGTGAAAATCATACTAATATTTGGTAATTAAAATTGTATTAAAGGATAATGGATAAAAAAATAATTGTGTTAACTATGAAAGATAAAACTGAAATTGTAATTTGCAAAATTAAACGTTTTACTTTCATAGATTTTTATATAAAACCACTTTTATATTTCAATTAATATTCTTTTTTTGACAAATTTCTTAATTTTAGGCGCCATACATATATTAAAACTTGATTTAAAAGAAAAAAAGAAAGTAACTATAGCATAAAAATAATAAGGAAAAAGAGTCTTAGCTTCCCTAAATTTTTTGTAATTTTATTTTTTTCTAAATTTTCATTTTTTTTTTATTTTTTCTGTTTTCTAAGACATAAAGAGTTAATTGTTTGACCGTGAACTTGACTTACTTGTCAAGTCTTTTTTTGTTCTTCTTTCTACAATTGTAGAATTTAAATGGACCATAAATGCTTTCCGTGGAAAATTCAAGTTGGTTTTTGTGGAAAATTCTCCATAGACTTGGTTGACTTGACTTACTTGTTAAGTCTTTTTTGTTCTTTCTACAATTGTAGAATTTAAATGGACCATATATGCAATTTAAATGGACCATAAATGCTTCCCGTGGAAAAGTCAAGTTGGAAATTAGTTTTTGTGGAAAATTCTAACTCCATAGAGTTGATTTATTTGTCTAGTTTTTTTTGTTCTTCTGTCTACAATAGTAGAATTTAAACGGACCATAAATGCTTTCCGTGGAAAATTCAAGCTGGAAATTGGTTTTTGTGGAAAATTCAAACTCCATAGACTTGCTTGACTTGACTTGATGTGATGGAAGATATTTTTCTTTAACTTTATATATTAGGTGTTGGTAGCAATGATCGGTATGCAACCATGAGAGCGGTTACAATTTCCTCATTTGGATTTCTTCTTGTCATCGCAGTCACCATTATTAGCTTTTGCGATGGGAATTGCAATGTGCTTTGCATTGAAAGTGAGAGACAAGCCCTTTTGAAGTTCAAGCAAGACCTTATTGATCAATCAAACCGGCTATCTTCTTGGGTTGAAGGTGAGGATTGCTGTGAATGGCTTGGTGTTTTCTGCAATAACTTGACTGGCCATGTCAAAGAGCTGCATTTGGGGCTTCTTTCAAGTAGACCTGATGTGCATGCACCGCATGCTGAATGGGATGTTTACATTCGGTCAAAACTAGGAGGCAAAATAAATCCTTCTTTGATCGAGTTGAAACTGTTAGGAAATACCACAATACCCACGCGCAGCAACCACACATACAAAATAACAAGCTCAAATCAAGAATAAGAACACACAAATATATTTGGTTCGGCCCAACTCAAAATGGCCTACTCCAAACCTAATCCACTATCAAATAAATCTTTACAATTGTGAGACTTTTAGAATGAGAAAAGTCTCATAAAACTCCTTACTCAAAACTTAACCCAAAACCCAATTACACTCTTTTAATAGCCTATTCACTTAGCTATTCTCTTGGTGTCTAACTCTCTGGGGTTACTAAACTAAAACCAAAACATCTTATTTATAAAGGGTGAAACCCTTTATACTTTTACTAAACTTCCGATGTGGGATACAAGACAAACTCAAACTCACTTAACTTTTGATATGGGATTCTGAGATTCAAGGCAAATCCCAACAAATCCTCCCTTGACTTGAATCTCCAAACACTTCAACAGTATCTGCAAAGCTAACATGCTTACCTTTCTTCTTTTCTTTCATCACAGGTATTCCAGCAACTAAGCCTCCATCAAACATGTACAAGTGATTGACCTTATTCCCTTGTAGAATCACACTATCATTCTTATACACTTTCAACCAATCATTACTACCATAAAATGTGTACCCCCGAGAAGCTAACTCACCCAAAGCAATCAAATTGTAATGACAATTTGGTACATACCTTACATGACGAAGTGTCCTAATAACACCATTGTGAGATCTAAGGCGAACACTTCCAATGCCTTGAATCTGCACCTTTTTTTCGTTAGCAACCACAATATCCCCATACTTTTCATTCTCATTCAACTCCACAAAGCAGCTCCTATCATTGCAAACATGAACTGTAGCAGCTGAATCTAAAACCCAACCTTTATCACTTTTCAAAGTCTGAGTCTCATCCACACAAGTTGTCAAAACAACATCATCATCATCAGACACGACAGCAGCAGTATCACTCTTTTCTTCATCTGATTTCTTCTCATCATTCGCCCTTTTGAAAGCAGCCATATCCCTTCTCAACTTCCTGCAGCGTACTTGGATATGTCCCTTCTCACCACAATAATAACATTCTACATCACTGTAATCTCTGTCTCTTGACTTAGATCTCCATCTCGATCCATCAATCCTCTTTGAGTCCTCCCTTGATCAAAACCCTCTACAGCTAGTGTACTCCCCCAGGTGATGAGTTCCGAGCTCCCATAAACCTTTCATTCTCACGCAACAGGGCAGTCACATCATCCAGACCTGCTTACCAACACAGTCTGAACTAAAGGCCTATAAGACTTGGGTAAAGATGACAGCAAAATTAAAGCCTTCTCTTCATCTTTTAACTCATCAACAGAAATCGCTAGCAATTGAGAAACCAATTTATTAAACTCATTCAAGTGATTATGAAGACTCATACCTTCTTCCATCTTCAGAGAATACAGATCCATCTTCAAACATAATCTATTAGTCAACGACTTCGAAGCATAAATACCTTCAAGCTTATCCCACAAACTCTTTGGAGTACTCTCAGTCAACACACTGTACTTTACTTCTGGAGCTAACGCCAATCTAATAGTACTAACAGCCTTCTTTTGAATCCTATTCCAATTAGCATCAGACATTCCCTCAGGCTTACTACTCTCTAATGCTTGATCCAACCCTTGTTGTACTAACAGATCTTGAATCGTACTTTGCCATAACATAAAATTACTCTTTCCATCAAATAACGGAATCTCAAACTTAGGCATAGACATACCAGACATACCTTCTTCAGACATCTTCAAACACTGCTTCACGATCTCTTGGACCCACGAACCTCGAACCTCGCTCTAATACCACTTGTTGGGAAATACCACAATACCCACGCGCAGCAACCACACACACAAAATAACAAGCTCAAATCAAGAATAAGAACACACAAATGATCTTCCCTCTCTTACTCTTAGTCAGTCGTTCCTTTTATGTAACTCGTTGGCTTCAGAACTTGCTTTCCTTTCGAAACCATTGAGCGAAGAATGATAACTCTAGATCGAAACATACTAACTATAGGACATAGGCCTTAGGTTTGGATGCATATTGAAACGCACCGCACTTGAGGTGAGGAATTGATTGATTGTCTTACAACACGCTTCCCTATCTTTCCGAATGACTTACTATCAGGCTGGCTGGACTGTACTAAGCTAAGGATCGGGATCGGAGATAGAATCAATAAAAGTAAAAGAGAGGGGCTAAGCTCTGTCTGGTCTGTCCTTTAGTTGAAAAGAAAAAGGACTTGCGATGGGCTGTAGCCTCAATTTTCATTGACCCTTCCAAGCTTCCAAACTGGCATCCCACGCGCAGCAACCACACACACAAAATAACAAGCTCAAATCAAGAATAAGAACACAGAAATATATTTGGTTCGGCCCAACTCAAAATGACCTACTCCAAACCTAATCCACTATCAAATAAATCTTTACAATTGTGAGACTTTTAGAATGAGAAAAGTCTCCTAAAACTCCTTACTCAAAACTTAACCCAAAACCCAATTACACCCTTTTAATAGCCTACTCACTTAGCTATTCTCTTGGTGTCTAACTCTCTGGAGTTACTAAACTAAAACCAAAACATCTTATTTATAAAGGGTGAAACCCTTTATACCTTTACTAAACTCCCGATGTGGGATACAAGACAAACTCAAACTCACTTAACTTTTGATGTGGGATTCTGAGATTCAAGCAAATCCCAACAGAAACATCTCAGTTTCCTAGAATTAAGCAACAACGACTTTGGAGGCTTGGCAATTCCCGAATTCATTGGTTCCATGAAGAGTTTGATATATCTTAACCTCTCTTGGGCAAATTTCCAAGGAGCAATTCCCCATAATCTTGGAAATCTCTCAAAACTGCATTATCTTGATCTTGGACACAATTCCCTATTTGAAGATAAAACTCTTCAATGGGTTTCTGGTCTGTCGTCTCTGCAGTATCTTGATTTGAGTCATGCAGATCTTGGTAAAGCAACTGATTGGCTGCAGATAACAAATAAACTTCCTTTATTGGCAGAGTTACACTTGTCAGGATGCTATCTATATAATGATCCATCTCCAATCAGTGTTAATTACACATCTCTTGCTGTTCTCGATCTGTCTGCCAACAAGTTGTCTTTGGTGCCTACATGGATATTCAGTCTTCGTAGTCTTGTGTCCATTGATCTTACCCTTAATGGAGTTGAAGGTGTGATTCCCAATGGTTTTCAAAACATGTCTTCTCTCAAATTTCTTGATCTTAGTTGGAATTCATTCTCTTCATCATCGACACTCAACTGGCTGTCTAATTTAAACCAGCTTCAATTTCTTGGTCTTCGTAGCGTCGGTCTGCAAGGTAATTTTTCAAGTGCCATTGGAAACTTGAGCTCTCTTACTCATCTTGATCTTTCAGGTAACTTGCTTGAAATTATAGTACCAAAATATTTGGAAAGTCTTTGCAATCTGAGGGAGTTGGATTTGTCAAATAATGGAATTGTTCATGAGGTATCAGAAATCATAGAAAGTTTGTCTAGATGTAGTTTGGATCGATTAGAGTCATTAAACATGGGATTTAACAAACTTTCTGGCCATTTACCTGATAAACTCGGCCAATTTAAAAATTTGGCATACCTTTCCCTTTCTGGAAACTTCATTTCTGGTCCCATTCCATTCTCAATAGGGAAGTTGTCATCATTGAAATTTCTTGATGTTTTAAACAATCGATTGAATGCAACTCTTCCTCAAAGTTTAGGACAACTTGGGAATTTGGAACATTTAGACGTTTGCAACAATATGTTGGAAGGACATATATCAGAAATGCACTTTTCTAATCTCACGAGGTTGAGATTTTTTAGGGCATCTAACAACATGTTAACGTTTAAACCAAATCCAAGTTGGATTCCTCCTTTCCACTGTGAAAGTATTGAATTGCGTAACTGGCATCTTGGTCCGCAATTTCCTCAGTGGCTACAATTCCAAAAAAACTTGTCTCGTTTGGATATCTCCCATGCTGAAATTTCAGTCGTCATTCCCACTTGGTTTTGGAACATTTCGACTCAGTTGGAATATCTAAACCTTTCCCATAACCAACTAATTGGAGAGATTTCATATTTACCGATGAAGAGGACGGTTGACTTGAGTTCCAACCTATTCATAGGTCCATTGCCACTGCCAATCTCATATTTGAGGTTTTTATTTTTGTCTAAGAACCTATTTTCAGGATCACTTTCCAATTTTCTTTGTAATTCCTCAACTAAACTGGAAGCTTTGACCATTCTTGACATTGAATCAAATCTTCTGTCAGGTGAAATTCCAAATTGTTGGGAAAATTGGCAAATGTTGCAAGTCTTAAATTTAGGAAACTACAATCTAACTGGGAAAATTCCTAGATCTTTGGGATCTATGCGTAGCATTAGGTCATTAAACCTTCGAAACGATAACCTGTTTGGAGAAGTACCATCCACATTGCAGCATTTAGTTGAGGTGATTATTCTTGATCTTAGTGAAAATCAATTGACGGGGAGTATTTCAGCATGGATTGGAGACAAGCTTTTAAACCTTGTGGTTCTAAACCTTCGTTCAAATAACTTTCAAGCCTATATTCCTGATCAAATTTGTGCTATTAATTCTCTTCAAGTTTTGGATCTTGGTTATAACAACATTTCAGGAGTTATTCCAAAATGTTTTAGTAACCTAAGTGCCATGGCCACAAAAACCCTCTACCAATATGTGGGTAACTTCGCCTGGGAACTCGACCGTATTAACTTGATTCCTTTGGCTGCATTATTGGTGATGAAAGGAAGAGAAGATGCATACAGTAACACACTAGGACTTGTTACCATCATAGACCTTTCAGTTAACAGTCTCACAGGAGAGATCCCCAAAGAACTTGGTAGTCTTATGGGGCTGCGGTCATTAAATTTGTCGGGGAATTTTCTAACAGGAAAAATACCAGAGAACATTGGCAGTATGGAGGTTTTGGAATCTCTTGACTTGTCCATGAACCGATTCCATGGTGAAATCCCTTCAAGTTTCTCCAATTTGAATTTCTTAAATCACTTCAACTTGTCCTACAACAACTTGACAGGACAAATCCCATTAAGCACCCAGCTCCAAAGCTTTGACAAGTTTTCTTACGTTGGCAATCATCTTTGCGGACCTCCTGTCACTAAAACTTGTAGCAGAAATGGTGAAACACCTGATGTCACAAATGGAGGTAGCAGTGGAGGAAAGAAAAGGTCTAAGTTGAATTGGCTTTATGTAAGCATAGTGCTTGGATTTGTGATGGGGTTTTGGGGAGTAGTGGCTCCCTTGTTTTTCATCAGGTCTTGGAGGTTTGCTTATTATAAAAAATTGGAGCAAATTGGTGACAAGCTATACGTGTTTTGGGCTACTATTGGTATGTAATTATTTGAAATGGTAGCTCATTTCGGTGTGTTTGGTAATATAATAATTTTATTTGTATGCTCTTTACTTAATCCATGTATTCGGATTTGGATATGGTATTCTATGTTATAGTTTATTGAAATGAAATAAAATTATGTGTGTTAATGTATTTGACTCATAGATGTGTATTCAAGTTTTATTTAAATTGGGTTGAAGGTACAATTTTTTTTATAAATCCTTTTAGTTGGATTGAATTATTAAAAAGATAAATCAAAGTCAGGGTGAATAAAAACATGTCATGACAAGTTGTCATCCTTAAATGGATGTATTCATTAGGCACCCTATTAATTTGGTTTTTTTTTTTTTTTGGGTTGTTTTTTTAAGTTTTGGCTATTTTTTGTTTTTAATTATCTATTTTTTTTTATCTATGTTTGGAGAACTAAATTGGCAGTAGAAGTGTTCATGTGGCATCCCATTTAGTTTTTTTTTTCTTTTTTTTTCAGCCCTTTCCTTTCCTTTCCTTTGTTTTATTTTATTATTTTTTCTTTTTTTAATAAAATAAATTTTGTAAAAAATGAAGTCATTGGAGGTTGAGATGTCAAAATAACACATATTTGATTGGTTTCAATCCATCAATATAATAGGGACAATTTTTAAAATCAAAATCGGATCGAAGTAGGATGATTTTTTTTTTTGAAGATCAAAATCGAGTCGAAACCAGGTTTAAGATACTTTATTCTGCCTCGTCTCAAGGTATATATATAAGAATATATATTATTTAATTTTATTTTTATTTGTTATATTAATAATTTATGTTAATAATTAAGATATAATTTATATTAAAATTATAATTATTAATGTTATATTATTGAATTGATTCTTGGTCAAGGTAAACCTAATACAGATTATATATATATATATATATATATCAAGTTGGCATCGAGTATAAAAAATAATAATATGATCAAAGTTAAAACGAATATAAACTAGTCTTTACTCGAGCCTTTGCCGTCTTTAAGTGGAGGTCTTTATGTGCTATCCCTATTTGGCTATTTTCATTTTTATCCTTTTGCTTATGCATTTTCTTTTCTTTTTTTTAGCATATTTTAAATCATTTTTATTATTTTTAATTGTTTTGAAAAATAAAATTAAAAGAATAAATTTGTATTTGAATTTGTTATAAAAGTTATAAGAATTATATATATTATTTACAAATTAATGGATAAATTTTCACCGATCATTATTTTTATCCAAAAATTATGAACAATAACAAGATTTTAGAATAAAAGTTCAAATTATACACTACCTTAAACTCTACACAGTAGAAAAAGCAAGTAGCATTTTATTAAAATTGAATATTTAAGAACTCTCACTTAAAACTTTTGACCAAGTTTTTTTTTTTTTTTTTTTGGGGGGGGGGTGAAGTTTAAACTTTAAAGCCCTGTTATATTAATCATTTTTTGACGAGCTTTTCTGAAACCAGAAACTATAGAAATAGAAGATTCACTGATTAATTTGCTTGCTTATCTGGTAATTGATAGGTTGAAACTTGAAATTTGGAAACCTTTAGGGGTAACTGAATGCCCTACTATAATTTTACAAGACCAAATGTTGAAAATAGTTGACCTGTACCAATTAAACCATCATAAAATAATGCTTCATTTGAATGAATAATAATAAAGATTTTCATCGAATCACATTGAAACTATTCATTTTGACATCCGAGAGGCCGTCCAAATGGAACATGATTGTTGCAAAATTTTCAGGCCTGGAAAATATTGGTCAATAATAATTTTGCATACAAATCCATGATTTCACATTGAACAAATAAAAAGAACCGAATCATTCTTGACTATTTTTGTTATTTATTTATTTATTCTTTTGTTTTTGAATGATAAATCATTATAATATGTAACATTTACATATTAATCAAATTCATAAGGATTGTTTATCGTAGAAAATAAAGGGTTCAGTTTCTGGAAACTCTAAACATATGGAGATAACCAGACATAGATGAAAGGAATAACGTTGGTAGTTTAGAATATGATACATTTTACATTGAATAGAAAATTTTAATTATTGATGAATAAAATTAATTTTTGTATTAATTTTATTCATATTTTAAATAATTATGTTTGAACAGAAATAAATATCATATGATAAATGGTCACAACTATTTGAATATAAATGAATTATTATTCATAAAGGTAATGATTATACAGAAGGTCATAACCATCTGAATATAATTTTATGTTTGTTCATTCATTATAAATAAATCTTTCAGTATGATCATTTTTACTATTTTTGATTAGAGAGTTTGAGGCTTTGTTGTATCCTAAAGGTATAATTGTCTTTAAGAAAATGTTCTTTATGTCTCAAAGCCAAAATTCTTTTCTATTATTTTTTTTCTCTTATGTATTTTTCTCTAACAATTTAAAGGCAATTATATAAGAAAATTTAATTTTGCCTAAGGAAGATATAAAGAAAAGAAATTGGCATGATTTGGAGATTAATATTAGAAAAGGCTAAATGAGTCAAAGGTGCTGAAGCATGCTTCTGCTAAAGATATGGTTTTGGAAAATGTTGATGCAGTGAAAGATGAAAAGGATGTTGAGACTGATGCACGTAGTCATGCCAGTCATAATGAGAAACAAAAACCTAAGTGGGAAACTGTCACTGCCCAAAAGAAATGTGAGCACGTGGAGAGTTTAGAAGGTAGTGAAGGTCATGAACCATATGGTGGAGCGTCTCCTTGTAAGGCATTAGCCACGGTAATGGAAACAGAACAACCTATGAGGCCAAGGATGACAGATCAGTTGACGATTTTCTTTTAACCTTACTAAGAGCACTTGATAAGCTACCTATAAATCTTACAGCTCTACAGATGTGTAACATTGGTAAGTCTGTGAATCATTTGCGTAGTCACAAGAATATAAAAATACAGAAGAAAGCGAGTTTAGTTGATATATATAAAAAAAAATGAGTTGATGCTGAGATGGATGCTAAGTCTGGTTCAAATCAGGCTGTTACCTGGTCTGCAAGACCTTGTTTTACTGAAGTTTCTCACAGTGAAAGCAAGTACTCTGGGTCATCTGAGGTTGCCATGAAGAGTTCAGTACCTTAACTTTCTGTTTCTAAAACTGGTTCGGTTAAGCTTGCTCAAGGAGAGACTGCAAGCAAGTCTGCTTTTGCATAAAATATCAGTCTGGTTTAACATGTGAAAAGGCCATGGATGCTCTTATGGCTGAGGGTAATAGTCATAAGTTCATTGTTAACATCCCAAATCAAGGTAGAAGTCCGGCACAAAGTGCCAGTGGATGATCTCTTGAAGATCATTCTGTCTGAGCAGAGCTTCTTCTCCTATGCTTTCAGAGAAGTCTGAACAATTAGATTGTAACATGAAGGAGAAAAGTGATACTTGCTGGACAAATATTATCGCTGATGTGAATACTGAATCTTGGCAGAACAATAACTTGAAAGATATGCTGATTGGGTCTGATGAGGGAGATGGTTCACACACAGCTGTTCCATATAAAATAAAATAAAAATTGTAAAACTGGAGAAGATGCCAGGAAAACAACTGAAGTTACAAAAATGGCTTCCCCATCTTTGGAAATGAACTTAAATCAGGGAAACTGCTGGAGGCTTCTTTCAGCTCCATTAATGCTTTAATTGAAAGTTGTGTCAAGTACTCTGAAGCAAATGCATGCGTACCAGTTAGGAATGATGCTGGAATGAATTTGCTTGCTAGTGTGGCTACTGGAGAGATTTCTAAGTTAATGTGGCTTCACGGATTGATTCTCTACAAAAGAAACACTCATGTTTTTGACTCGCATTGCTGAAACCTTTGCATCTTCCCCTGATAAATTAGATGAGTTGTGCAATCATGGACTTGTTACTCAGGCTGACTTTTTTCAGCATGTGCAAGGGGGTCTCCTCTAAAAAAAAAAAACTTTACTTTTGCTTGCGATCAGTGGCATACTTAAAGATATACTATTAGGTTCTGGCGTTTCCTCCAACTCATCTGTTCCGCCAGTTCTGGCGTTTCCTCCAACTCATCTGTTCCGCCAGTTTTAAGTAGACCAGCAGAGAAGATCTTTTAGATTGACAATCTAGCAAATGAGCTTCTTCCTCCATTGCCACAAGGAACCATCTCCCTCCCTGCCAGCTTAAATATATTTTTGAAAGGATCTATTGTGAAGAAGTCTTCTGCTAGTAGCTCTGGCAAGCAAGAAGACACCAATGGAAACGCTACTGAGGTTTCAGCCCAAGTGAAAATTGTTGAATGATCAACCCAAACTTCTTCAGCAGTTTGGAATGGATCTCTTTCCTGTTCTCATACATATCTATAGTTTTAGTGTCAATAGCACTGTTCGCTACAAATGTCTTTCAGTTATTGGAAAACTGATGTACTTCAGCAGTGCAAAGATGCTTCAGAAGCGGTTGAGTGGGACAAACATATCAAGTTTCTTGGCTGGTGTTATAGCATGGAAAGATCCATATGTCCTGGTTCTTTCCCTCCAAATTGCTGAGATCCTCATGGAGAAGCTTCCTGGAACCTTCTCCAAAATGTTTGTTAGAGAGGGTGTGGTTCATGCTGTGGAACAACTTGTCTTAATCGGTAATCAAAATACCACTCCTGTTCAAGCATTTTCTGTTGAGAAGGATAATGACTCTGTATCTGGAACGTCATCGTGTTCCAGGCATTACAGACATCGCAGTGGTAACTCCAATCCCAAAGGAAGTTCTGTGGAGGAGTCCAAGAATTCAGCATCTTTAAATATTGGCTCACCTCCAAGTTCTATCGAAATTCCTACTATTGTTGAGAGTGGTGATCTCGATATGAACGTATTAATCACAAAATGATTGTGAAAGTAATTAAAATTGGAGTTAAATATATTATGAACTCTTATTTTACATAGGTATATTGGTCCTATGAGTAAAGTTTGAATTCATTATATATCGAAAAAATATTATAACCAATTAAAAGTGGTAAATAACAGAGATATATAAGTTGCACAATGGTGGAGAAATAAAGTTCTCATAAAAGTTTAAAATCAAGTTTAGAGGTTTCAATAATCATGAACTTGGAATTGGCCATTGGACCATTACTATATGCATTGAAAACTCATGATAACATTTGAGATAGTTGGTTTTCATTAAAAGCTATCATTATAAATGAGATAATTTTAATAGCCAAATCTAAATGATTTGTAG